ATGGATGCTTCAGTCCATCCTAACCCAGCCCGCAAAAAGGAAAATGTAATTGGCATTCAATTGCTTAACCAAAACAAGCACTACAAGAAAAAATATACAACTACTACGATTCAAATCATTGATTTGCGAGGGGAAGGTTAAAAGCATATTAAAGCTCCATGTCACCACAACCAAGCTTCTGGATCACCTTGCACAACCCAAAATTGTAATTTAACACTAATCTAAAACCAGGAAGTCGATCTTGTTGCTTGATTCCACAATCAGAATCCAAAATTAGTGTGGAATAACACAGAACAAAAATTAGGTTGTAGCAGTAAAATGAAATCGAACGTACCACGTGACGCATGGACGTTGTGAGCACTCGATCTTGTTGATGTTCGTAATTAGCCCTAGGTAGGGTTCTTCTAAAGGCACCACTATCAGAAGGATTCTGAAATTCATCTGTTTGGGTGGATGAAGATGAGATGGTTGTGGTGTTGAAGGTGGGTCAGATGTCGCCGAAGAGAGAAAACGAAAACGAAAACAAAAACAAGGGGGTTATGATAGGCAATCGAACGTACCACCTTGTATCATCGGCGAAGACAGAGGCGATGCTTTTTCATGCTCCGACTGTGAAAGTGGTTCGTGGATGGCGGCGACGCAAGTCGATAATACTGGAGTGAGTCGTAGGTTTAGGTATAGAGAGAGAGAGAGATTGAGAGATTTTAGGAGTTGTTAAAAATAAGGGAATGATTAATTACACTGATACCCTTTTCATAATTTTAATTCAAATTAATTGAATTTAAACATTTTACTATTAACAAAATTTCTAATTAATTATAGCCTTAGATCTAAGATAATAGATGGATGATATCTGTTCTCGCGTTCTCAACCTTTTAGGTGTTCTCATTTGATCCTACTCTTATATATATATATATATATATATATATATATATATATATATATATATATATATATATATAGAGAGGTAAGTTCAATTGAGAAAATAAAAAAGGTTGAGAATAGGGGAATCGTTCTCAGCCACTCATTTATTTTTGCCGCAAAAGCCTTTGTTGTACCAGCGGAAATGGATAAGGAATACACATGTGTTTCCAACAAAACATGTTTCCTTAAACTATGTTAATCATTACCTTAATATATACAAAAACATAGTTTTTTTTGTTTTTTAATTTTTAAGAAGCTATTTATATCGAAAAATGATTTTAAATATACCAAAATTCATGATTTTTTATTCTCTACAAATAGATATCCATATTGATATACTTTTAAGATAAAATAAAAAATTTATTTTTTTTATATTTTCAGCTATCGTTATTCATAAGTGAATAAAAATGCATTAGATTTTTGCTACAGTACATTTGTTATTCACTTATGAATAAAAATATATAATTAATTTTTTTTACAGTTTAAATATCATCTATACTACTTATTCATATATGAATAACAAATTAACTGTAACAAAAATCTGATAAATGTTTTATTCATATATGAATATAAAATATGACGACAACTAATACACGTTTTATTCATATATAAATATAATATATGATGAAAGATGATGTAAAAAATATATTTTAAGTAAAAAAACTTTATTGCGTGTCATATTCATATATGAACGATACTTAAACTATAAAAAAAGTTACGCATACGTTTTATTCATAAGTGAATAACGAATATACTGTAATAAAAATCTGATAGATTTTTTTATTCACTTATGAATAACGAGAGCTGAAACTCTAAAAAAAATAAATTTTTTATTTTATCTTAAAAGTATATCAATATGGATGTCTATTTATAGAGAATAAAAAATTATGAATTTTGATATATTTAAAATAATTTTTCGATAATAATGGCTTTCTAAAAATAAAAAAAAAACGAAAAAAATATGTTTTTGTGTATATTAAGGTAATGATTAGCATAGTTTAAGGAAACATGTTTGGTTAGAAAACACATGTTTATCCGTTATCTATTTCCGACGGTACGCCTAAGTGTTTTGCGGCAAAATAAATGTGTGGCTGAGAATGATTCCCCCATTCTCAACCTTTTTTCTCTCAATTGAACTCTCATATATATATATATATATATATATATATATATATATATATATATATATATATATATATATATATATATATATATATATATATATATATATGTTTATCTTTAGAATAATATATTCCCCTACTTTCATTTCTGTATCCTCGTCTCTCATTTTTTATATACTTTTTCTTTCAAAGCAAGGTGGTCATGTAACGACAATGACAAAGATGTCTTGTTAACTAGACTTCTGTGTTCATTATAACCGGTATTTCATTTGTTCTTATGAATATTAGTGAAAACAATATAATATTTAATGTATATAGATTATAATAAATATGTAACAAAAAAAATAAAAGAATGCTTCGTCTAATTTAAGTGTGCTAAATCATAATAATTGGAACATGTTTTTCTTGCGTTGCGTGTCTTTATCTAGCACAATGACATGCAGGAAGGCATGCCGAATATGTTGCATACACACACAAAATATGATATACATGTCTTTCTTGCCTTGCGTGTTTTCTTTGAATTAGAGCGATTGACGTTGCTCCCTTTCTCGACATGTAATTTGTAATTAATATTTTTGTTTTTGTCTAGTTCTTTATTAGCTTTTGTTTCTAATATAATATTGTGATTCCAAAAAAAAGTATATGTGCGATAGATATTCTTATCTATAAAAGGTGGCATACTATAAACGATACATATTCATTTTCATATAAACTTACAGTTTAAAGTAAATTTATCTTATAATAATGTAAACTTTATTTGACTATTTATCTCATAATAATGTCAATTACAAAGTAAATTTATTTGGCTTTTAACTTATTTGTGTATGATATTTAAAACTATTTGTGTATGTCATATACATTTAAAGTTAAACGACAAAGAAAACATTATAAGTACAAATGATAAAAGTAAATTCATCTCATAATAATGTTGGTTACAAAGTAAATTTATTTGATTAAACTTACTTGTGTACTATATTTAAAACTACTGTGTATGTCATATACATTCAAAGTTAAATGATAAAAAGAAAGTAATATAAGTATAAATGATTACAAGGTTAAATGATTCAGTAACTAAAATAATATAAGGTGATATAATTATTAAGCACTTCAACAAGTGATTTAGACGATTTTACACATACTGATAAGAACACAATCAATTTATGTGATTCATATGATTATAGTGAACACAGACATTCACGAGGATGAGATTTTATTGAATTCTGCAGAATGGCTTACTACACTTTGATTACACAAATTCAATGAATATATTCTTACTAGGAAGTTGACCTATAAATGCCAAATGCCAAATGCCATGCTACGAAAACTGGCCCATGACGAAATTGGAGGCGAAGCTGATATAGAAACTAGTTCACGAAAAATGTCTTCATAGGTTGTTGCCCTCGATCCCGACAAGGGGCAACTCTCCCTTGACCCCCACCTGCTTTTCCATGATTGATATAGGGGTTAAAACGTAAATCAGTATCTATAACTTACAACGAATATATAAGGATTTTAGGGTATAGTCGCCCCCTATCCACACCCAAAAAATGTTGTCACCTTAGCATCACATCGATCATCACCCCTAGATGTGGTGTTTACTGTACGCAGAGTATTTTCCCATGCATATCTCATCTCATTAAATGAATATAAATATGTATACATATGGGCTTTACAGAAAATAATCAAAGTGGGCTTTACATAAAATACACACAAATAAATATACACTAACAGCCCCCCACAGTCAGAACAGGAGGTTCACAGATGTTCATACTGGATCTGAAATCAAGAAATAATGTAGATGGTAAGCCCTTTGTGAAGATATCAGCGAACTGAGAAGATGAGGGAACATGAAGCACACGAACTTGACCCAGGGCAACTTTGTCTCTGACAAAGTGAATGTCAATCTCTATATGCTTGGTTCGCTGATGTTGAATCGGATTAGTAGACAAGTATACCGCACTCACATTATCACAATAAACAATAGTAGCACGAGGTGGAGGCTGAAAAAGTTCACGCAGAAGATTGCGAATCCAACATGTCTCAGCAACGACATTTGCTACCCCTCTATATTCAGCCTCGGCACTAGAACGAGAGATCGTACCCTGTCGTTTGGAAGACCAAGAGATCAGATTGGAACCGAGAAACACACAATATCCCGAAGTGGATCGTCTAGTGGTAGGGCAACCAGCCCAATCAGCATCCGAATAAGCAATAAGGCCACGAGCAGGGGAAGCATATAGTTGTAAGCCATGATCAATAGTACCACGAATATATCATAAAATACACTTGAGTGCAGAAAAATGTGGTTCTCGGGGGTCATGCATGTACAAACATATCTGATGAACAGCATATGCAATGTCAGGGCGAGTAAACGTGAGATATTGGAGACCACCAGCCAGACTGCGATACAAACCGTATGGGATTGCCAACATTCGTGCTTCAATCCCAGTCATCCTTGATCTAGAACGAATGAATTACGACTCATGGAGGGAGCTGTTCGAAACTCACTGTTATGGTTTTGGGGTGGCTAACCATCTCAAAGAACAGCCTAATCCCAAACCATCCGACTTGGAAGAATGGAAACGTATTGACAACATTGTCAATATGTGGATCTACGATACTCTCTCCCCTTCTTTACTTCAGATGTCATCCAAGAGAAAACCGAATGCCTTTGCCTTATGGTCATACTTGGAGTCCCTTTTCCGCTCCAACAAAGACTCCAAGATAATGCAATACGATTCTGAGCTTCGAAACATCACTATGGGAACATCCACTGTTATTGAATATTGCACCAGTATACAAACTCTTTCCGATCTTCTTGAAAACTTGGAAGCTGAAGTTCCAGAGAAAAACATTGTGATCTACACAATAAATGGACTCTCTCCTAAGTTTGATCATGTTGCTAGTCTAATTCTCCATCAAAAACCTCTGCCCTCATTCTCTGATACTCGGGCCATGTTACAAGTTGAAGAGCAAAGAATTCAATTGAATGATCAACGAAATCAAAGTCACATTCACTCTGATAACTCTTCCTCACCATCTGCTCTTGTCACCGGACCTGATCCTCAATCAAATCTCACTCGTGGCAATAATCATGGTAGTCGTGGGGGACGTGGTGGAAAAGGTTTCCGTGGTGGCAGAATCGGAAACAGAGGCGGTTGTAATGGGGGAAATTCCGGCTTTAATCACTTCAGCCGTCAACAGCAACCTCCAGCGGGGTGGGGTTTCGGCTGGTATCCACTCGCTGGATCAGTGGGCTCATCAACAACACAACAACAGGCAGACCTGCTTCCGATACCTCCTACTCAGCAATCACCGACCCATCTGAATTCATGGCCCAATAATTCTCAACAGTCTCGTCAATTTGGTCTGGCCCAGTTTCCTCAGCAGGTTTTTACAACATCAACTGCTCAGCCCACTCCTCCTTGGTCTTGGTTTGGTCCTCCGAGTCAGCAACAATCTCAGCCTACAACTCTTCCAGAATTGTTCAACACGATGTCGTTGAATGATCCCACCAATCACAGCTGGTATATGGACACAGGAGCCACTTCTCATCTTCATGCTCAACCAGGTATCCTTAAAAAATTAAGTGACCATGTTCCTTGCTCTTCTGTTACCGTTGGTGATGGATCTAAAATAACTGTAAGTAATATGGGCGACACTGATCTTTCTTTTTCAAACCCGTATCGCCCCCTTTCATTGAAAAATGTTCTCATTACCCCTAATATAATGATAGAATAGAAGAAGAAAAAACTGAGAAAGAGATGAGATATGAGAAGTAGAAAGATCGATCAGCCAAGTAGGAAGGTTGCCGACTGCTTAGAGGTGAGAACAAGATATTAGGGTTGGCTCTGATACCATGTACGCAGAGTATTTTCCCATGCATATCTCATCTCATTAAATGAATATAAATATGTATACATATGGGCTTTACAGAAAATAATCAAAGTGGGCTTTACATAAAATACACACAAATAAATATACACTAACATTTACTTGGCCACACCACTGCCATTTCATCCCCCGTCTTTAGCATGGTACGAAGAACTTAATAACCTGATATGATATTTGTTTTATATTATTAAATATAAAAATAATACAAAAAGTGTCATGTCCGTGTCAAACAAATCAAACGATATCATTTTTTTTGATTATGCACGTTTTAAACTAGCACAATGACACGTTAAATGAGTCCATAGATAGCACAATATGTGTGCATTGTATGCATATATTTATTTCATGTATTTATGTTTTAAAAGATGGTTATGCAGTGATAATAACACACTACTTTTCAATCCTTTTATCTATTATAAATTTATAATATGTCTATTTAACAAAAGTTACTCGTAGTTTTTGTAACAACCAAACATGATATTTGTATAACACAAATCAAGGAGGATGGGTAGAAGGCTGTTAAAAATTTAAATAAATCCTGTCTCATATCAGATTGTAATAATTTATAAATACTCCTATTGTACTTCATGGGGGATATTATATTTAAATTTTAAAGTAGAACTTACAAAAGTGCATGTTCACGCGTTGCTTTGCGTGTGGTTTTTGTGTAATTTAAACGGCTGTTTTGAACATTTTGGAATTATCATCGGACTAAAAGGAAAATAATTTGTTTAATGAGGGTGTAAAATATAAATTTGAAAAGAGGGTGAAAAATATCTAGTAATAAAAAATTTGCGTAGTCTCCAAAGAACAAATAAGGTGAGGAATAGGATTACTGTTTGAAAATAAGAATAAAGAATTAGAGAGAAAAAAACGCGGCTGGTGTACCCCAAACCAGATTCTCCTCCGGTTTTTTAGTCGTTTACCTTCCTCATTGATTGCGTCTGAAGAAAGATCGTAAAAACTTAGCACTTACCAAGCTCCAATTTCAGCGATTTTGAACAATTTGGTCAAGAGATCGGCTAATTAGCTGATAATATCAATATTCTCTGTGTGGGTGATTAATTTTTACTTCCGATCTTGATGTTTTTGGAGAAATCTTATGTGGGCTTTGATGGGTTTTCGATTATTTGAATTAGGTAGATGAAGTTTTAAGTTTTGTTGCAAGTTCTTGCTGTTTAAGATATAGAAAAGCAATTCATATTGCTTTGTTTTGGATGATTTCTGTTGGGAGTATAGATGAAAAGAAGGGGCTGAGTTTGAGGTATGGTTTTGAAGGTGGAAAGATGGAAATAACGACGACTGATATCGAAGAAGGGGAAGCTTGTTTTCAGAGTAATTATGATGATGCTTCAACAATTGACCCTGATATCTCTCTCTCTTATATTGTAAGCAATTATCATTATCTCCCGACAACTGTTTTAGTTCTTTATTGTCTCTTTATAATTCAATTCACTTTTGATTATTTATTAACTACACATATCCTGGAATGGAAGTTTGGTTTTAGTAATTGACACAACATGTTATGATAAAAACATTAATATTTCCCTCATTTTCTCAATTACTTCTTAAATTTGCCAAACTTTTAACGCCTCCAAAATGGCTATTACAACATTAAGCAGCAAAAACACACACAAAAACTATTTGCTGCTTGTAAACACTTTCAAAATGCACATCCAAACACCCACTTGGTAAAGATTCTGGGCATTGCATTTTGCTAGCTACTATTTGACCCGTTTTATTCTTGCCTTATTTACCTATAAATGAATATCACTGCAAGCTTGGCAAGAGTTATCTCCTAATTGATTCATATAACCTTTTTATTCTCGCCTCATTAATCGTTGTAATTCTGAAGGATGAGAAAATTCAAAATGTTTTGGGACATTGTCAGAAAGATTTTGAGGGTGGATTTACAGCTGAAAATTTGGGTAAGTTGCTGGACCATTGGCAAGTTAAAACCAATAGAAAATTTGGAGTTGTTATGTGAATTTGTGGTTATTTGCAGGGGCAAAGTTTGGGGGATATGGTTCGTTTTTGCCCACTTATCAGCGTTCTCCTGTTGGGCCTCATCCAAAGACACCTTTGAAACTTCATGCACACAGTGCACCTGAATCTCCAAATCCAAATAATGTACATATAGAGGTGCTTCTTTTTGGAATTTTGTCAATTACATTCGTATTTACTATTTATATACGTTTCCTACAAAAATGTTGATTTCTGAATGTTATTCATGATAGGCTTCCCAATCAAGTGCATCACAACCATCAAGAAAAGGGTCATCTGCTAATGGCAGATTGAAACAAGAAGTCCCCACATCATGTGGTGACAAATCAACTTCTAAAGGCTACCAATCTGTTAACAACTTACCTAAAGATTCTGACCAAAAGTCTCTGAAGGTGAGGATCAAAGTTGGCTCTGAGAACTTGTCAACTAGAAAAAAAGCTGAAATTTACAGTGGACTTGGCCTTGATGTCTCTCCCTCATCTTCATTGGAAGCCAGTCCTGTAGATAGTAATGGGTTCTTTCATGTGCCTCAAGATGACCATAATGAATCCCCCACTAGTATTCTCGAGGTTAGTAATAACTAATCTTCCCAGCTTTCTTTTTAATTAATATTCAAAATGGCTTAAAATTGATGTTTTTTTCAATTCGAATTTGCAACAGATAATGACATCATTCCCGGTTTTGGGAAGTCTTGTATCTCCTCTTCCTTATGATGTTTTGCACTTGATTGAAAAAGAAAAGGGGAGCCAAGAAAGTAGTGTGACAGCTCTTCATGGGTCTGATTTGAGTAAAACTGATCAAGATGTTCTTGGAGACTTGTTTGATATAGCAAAAGAGGAACCCATGGAGCCAGTATTGCCAACAGATGGTGGTTCAGGTGGAAAGATTTGGGAAGCTAACAACATGACTTGTGATGAAAAGAACCCGGTTTTCTCTATAAAAACGGATTCAGATGTGTCAATTGGCAGCAAGATTTTTGATAGTGGACCAATGAAGCCTCTAAAGCAGAGGGATGATCAGAAAGCTATGAAATTGGCTCCAGATAAAACATCATCTTCAGGGGGGAAAAGGAAATCAAAAGGTCTAGTTAATGGTTCACAAGGCGGTTTAAAGAATGAATCTTTTACATCTAAAAGTAAGAACAATGAAGATCATAAGAAAAATAGCGGGAAAGTCAAGGACACCTACAAAGATTTCTTTGGAGAACTTGATTTAGAACACGAAGATGATGATGAAATGGGTTTGGAGAAACCTTCTGGAGGCAATAATGGAAAAGTCAAACTGGAAAATGATAGTTTATCCGGAGAGAGAGAAAGATTAATTGGAAAGAAAAGTGAAAAACCATCTTTACATGTGACTACAATGGGCAATGGGCTAGTTTCTGATGCAGCTGTCCCTATGGTAGCTCCTGTAGTGAATGAAGATTGGGTTTGTTGTGACAAATGTGAGAAATGGAGACTTCTTCCACCTGGTGTAAATCCCAGCAGCCTTCCTGAGAAGTGGCTCTGTAGCATGCTTGATTGGCTGTAAGTAGTTCTTTTCTTTTTGCACAAGGTTAAAAGATAAATTCTTTGAAATATACATTTTGGTCAAAATGTACCTATAAAGGAACTCACTTTCTTGCCTTTTTTTTTTTGAATATTTTTTGACATGTTTGTAGGCCTGGAATGAATCGATGTAGCATCAGTGAGGAAGAAACAACAAAGGCTATGACCTCTCGTGTTCCTGGTCCTTCTGTTCAAGGTGTTCAACCTGTTCATCCTGGTGGACCTCAATTAGGAGTGACCTCACATGATCCTGATGGGACCCACCAGCATTTCGGTTCACAAATTCGACATGCTGGTTTCAAGAAAAAACATGGATCAAAAGATCTGACAAATGAAGCCAAGCTGGATAGGCCTTCGATGTCTTCTAACTCTTCAAAAAAGAACCTTCATGCCTCATATAGAAGCAGAAGCCTGAATGCCACAAACCCTTCACCTGTTAATGGAATAGATTTTCAAGATTCTGGTCAGTCAAGGGACGTGAATGTGGTTGGACAAAAGAAAAAACTGGATGAAGGTATCTTAATCTTCTTTTATTTTTTTTTGAATTTTATAAATAGCTAATGTTGGGCTAAATGCAAGAAACAGCAATGTACTTCCATTTACTTAGTTGACCCATTTAAGATAAAATATTACCAAGATCAACCTATTTTGAGGTAAATGGTTCGAATTGCTGCCTTTTTCCGAAAGTGTATAATGGATTTCATTTATATCACACTTCCTCAGGTAACAATAACCATCACTCCAAGATCAGCAACAAAAGAGAGAGTACTCAAGATTTCCCCAAAGATTGCAAGAAAGTCAAGACCAATGTTGAGGATGGAACATTCCACATGGGAAAATTTGATAAAAGAGATGTTGCAAAGAAAAGAAAAAGAGAAAATGAAGTTGATGGTACCCCCAAATATGTGAAAGAAACAAGTGAAACCAACCACAAGAGGGAAAAGAAAGCAAAGATATTAAATCCCGAAGATGAAGGAATCCCTGCAAGAAAAGGTAAAAACAATGAAGATGTGAAAATGAGGAGCTTGAAGGTAATAGATTCTTCAAGAAAAGATACGGTTATGGCTGCCACTTCAAGCTCTTCGAAAGTTTCTGGTTCACATAAAACTAAAACCAATAATAACCAAGAAGCAAAAGGGTCACCGGTGGGGTCCGTTTCTTCTTCTCCTCTTCGGATCTTGAATAATCATAATAATAAGAAGTATAAAGGCGTTGAGCCTTTGAAGAAGAATGTTTATGTAGAAAAATCAAAAGAAGGAAGAAACAAATCACAAGGTAAGTTTGCAAGTGAGAATGGTAAAACACATGGGCAATCAAAGCATAATAGGTCAGATGTTAGAATGGATCAAGATTCAAAGAAAACTTCAAGGAAAGATGTAACCGGAAAAGGAAAGTCAAAGTCTTTGCCACCAAGGGGTCAAAATGAAAAAGAACGTTTTCCACAACCTCTTGATGATTCTCGAAAAGAAAACATGGGAAATAATGTGCCGTTAAAGCATCATAAGAAAGGTCAGAACAATAGTGGAAATCAGCCTATGAATGTTAAACATCCCAGTCCCACACCCAACATGCATAAGGGTAAGGGAAAAGACCAGGATGCCCCTGTTCTTCTTCTGGTTAGGGATATATCCAATCAGGCTACAACAAGTGCTCTAAGAGAGGCCACAAATCTTAAACACACAGCTGATCGCGTGAAGGTTCTTTTTATTTTTGTCTTTATTGTTTTTTTATTTTTTTCTGATTTACCAACAACACCTTAATTTGTCCCTTGTTCTGAATTTTTGAATTTTATACTAATTATTAAGCTGTTGTGATTGTTTGTGAAGATGATTGGGTAAATGATTATATATGCAGAATGGTGGATCAAGCCTTGAGAGTAGAGGGCTTTATATGCAAGCAGCACTTAAGTTTCTTCATGTAGCTTCTGTGTTTGAATCCTGCCACAAAGAGACAGGGAGATATGGTGATATGATACAATCAGTGTCCATATATGGTAGCACTGCAAAACTTTGCGAGTAAGCAAAATTGCAAATAGAATTTTAGATGCCCATATTTGTAATTTTTGTTTAGTAGCATGAAGTGTTTGTTTGTGAACTACTGGTTATTAGGTATTGTGCTCATGAATATGAGAGAACCAAGGAGATGGGCACTGCAGCTTTAGCCTACAAATGCATGGAGGTGGCATACATGAAAGTCATCTATTCTTCACATGCAACTGCTACCAAAGATGTGAATGAGTTGCAATCATCTCTTCAGACGGGTGGGTCTTATATTTGAGATTTTGCATTGAAGGGGATGTTTAACAATAACATATGATAACATGATATTCCTGTTTGAATGATTTTTGATAGGAGGGCGCGGGTCTCCTTCTTCTTCTGCCTCTGCTTCTGATGTTGATAACTTGAACAACCCTGCAGCAGCAGCCATAGCCACTGACAAGGGTGTTAATAGTAATAGTAATAGTAATAATGCTGTAATTGCAGCCCGACACAAACCCAACTTTACACGGATTCTTAGCTTTGTAAGTGTCTGACTCTGAAATGCCAAAAACGGTTGGTTTGTTTGGTTTGCTGAGGATTCTGTTATGCAGGCACAGAATGTGAACTCTGCAATGGAAGCCTCGAGGAAATCACGGATTGCTTTTGCAGGCTCCACTTCAAAAGAGGAGGCCATTAAAACGGCTCTTGACTTCAACTTTCATGATGTGGAGGGATTGTTGCATCGGGTACGGGTGGCAATGGAAGTAATTAATAGGTGATTGCTTCCTTCCTGCTTATATATATTTTTTTTCAAAAAAAAAAAAAAAAAAAGAAAAGAAAATCTTTGGAATTGCTTCCATGGCAAGGGCTCCACCAACGGGTCCCACGCCTAACATTTTCCAGAGTAAGGACTAAGGAAGGAGGGTAAGGTGATGATGTGATGGCCTAGGCTTGAACTTGAGAGAGACCTCCCTCACTAAGGGCAAGGGCAACGTGTTAAGAGAAAACAAGATTCAGGTAAACCATATATATATTCATACGTCTTTTTCATCTCTAATTATAAAATTATATTACCTGATTCAAAAGAGATAAATGGTGTGAGGATCTCTTAGTCGTTGGATTCTAGTGTTACTTAATCTTGACTTTTAAACTAGTATATAATTCCTACATTTTTATAATTGAGTAGGTAGTTACAAAATGTTTCTTTTCTATGAAATAGTTAAGTCTGTTTTTCATTTGTTTGATTAAAAAAAAAAACGATTTTGAAAACATGAATTTATATTTGTTAAGATGAATTATCTATTTGTTAAAATATGAGATAATTTAAACATTTCATCAGTAATAAATATTTTCATTAAAATGCTACTACATTTTTTCTTATATTTTGCTTGTGAAGCTGATTATATGTGTATATTTATGTACAGAATGGTGAATTTAGCTTCATTTTGGTTTCAGATGCAGATGCAGTTGATACTTCGGAATATAATAGAGGAGTTGAGTTAAATTTCGCTCTGAAACAAAAAGTAAACGGCGTAGTTATTGCTTAATGTTTCGGTGAGGATGGTGAAAAAGGTAATTTTGCATTATTTTGTTGTTATTGAAGGGTATTTTAGACGTACTATGAAATGATATGACATTTCTATTTTATGACCTAGTTCATTTTCTTTTTCGTGTTTTCTTCTGCAGATAAATGTGGCGGAAAGATTTTACAAGGCGAAAGCTCGAAACAATACCTAGGATCATTAGTATTTGGACATATGTTTATATGATCAAGTCAGATATGCGTGTATGTCTTGTGTGCATTTTAAATATTCAATGCACAAACATTTTATGCAAGATATAGAGGGTTAATGTCTCATTTGTTAACAAAACACCTGTTCGTTTGAGGCCTAAAACTTCAACCAAATTGGTTGGTTAAGTGAGTAGTTAAAAGTACATACAACCCCATGTGGTCCTTCTCAATTGGTTCCATATATATATATATATATATATATATATATATATATATATATATATATATATATATGCAGATTAAAAAAAATCAACATACATATGGATGGTTTGTCAAATAGTGAAACATTCGCAGGGTTTGTTTGGAAATAATATTCTCACCACTTTAAAGTGAAAATGGTAGAAATTGCAAGGTTAGTCTAACTTTGCATTTTGTTACATGGACAATATTAGTGTCTTGTGTGCAAGTATAACATCCCCATTTTCTACAAAAAAAAAGACCCAGTTTTTTTTTCTAAAAATTCTACCAAATTTCAGCATTACCTCTAATCTAAATAACTACAACATAACCTACTATTATTTCCAACCATTCCAAATAAGACAAACGTATATATCTAATTACCAACTACATAATATAACTCAATAGCCTTTACCAAATCTTCTTATCTCTCAAACATAATCTTTTACAGTTGCACTCATCTGCTAACCATAACTGAACTTATAATATATGCCATCAACGACAATGGGTAAGCTCAAAGTTTAACAAGTAATGATATAATAGTCCATAATATAATACCACAATTAATTAACCACATAATGTAACTTATATTTACCACAATCAATAAGGTATTTTCACCCTCAATCTATTATTGTTTACAGATTTAGACAAATTGAAGCCATCAATGGGTATGAACATCAAAACTTCTTCTCACTAGATCCTTACATCGGAAGCCTTTTGATTCAACACCAAATTACCCTGGTTCTAATTCAGCTTAAGCTCTCGAAACCTGTTACTGTATCCACAAAAGTGGTAGATAAGCTATGCACTACGTGTGTTGGATAAAATACTTGAGAGGGTAGTCCATACCATTTAGCAAGCATACATTACCACAATTAGTTTTCGTCTTGAGATCCTGCAGTGTTGGCGTGTCTAATCCAAAAACACATCACCAAGAATAGAGAAGGGTCAACAAGGGCGAATTATGTTTTTATTGATCAAGTATTTGGGTAGGATTGCTTGCATTTCACTGGCTCAACAAGAGAGATGTAGTGCCACCATCGTCATCTTGTTACCTGTGTGTGCATGTCATTCCATCTTTTGCCATCCGCATCATTGCTGATGTGGCAAAAAGAGCTGATGTGTCCACTGCCGGGGTTGCTTCCGACCTTATGCCCCTGTAAAGCAACAAAATAACTTTAGGGACTGAATTGACCAACCTTGGAAACATTGTCGGGCATTTCTTTAATATCAGTATAAAAGCTAACAAACATATCTAAAGTAAGGATTATAAGAAAGATTAACATCATAAGCTTTTATCTCATTCATAGACAAATGCAAATATAATTCGAAAAAAGTTTTCTCTAACAATCCCTAAATTTTCAGCTATTTATTATAAGCTTCGATGCGCATTTTCAGTCTCTTGAATTTCCATCACTTATATCCAATTCTAGGTTAGCCCCACTGTAGAATTCAAGAAAGAAACAAGGGAAGGGTATTTACTACTAGAAACAGAGTAACATGTTTATCATCTCAGTAGTCTATTTGAAGCCATTTTCAATGTGCTTTTGATATTACCTTGCATAGATGAACAGCTTTGCGTATCAACTATCAACCCAAGTTTTTATAAAATTGGGATGCTTTCAGGTATCTATCTATCTTCTACCTTTTTCTCAATTGCCTTGATATCAGCCTGCAGATCAAGTATTCCATCATTAAGTAGTAATTTTTTGCATCACGGCTTGGGAAGCCAAGTTACAAGATTTAATTTAGTTTATGTTTAGTAGTATGCATATGACATTAGCTCAAGTGGCAAGTTCAACCAAACTTAAGGGTTGATTGGATTTGGGGTTATATTGTATCTCCAATGGGTCACATTAGGTAAAATTTTACAGCTTGGCTAAAATGAAACAACTTGAACGAGTCAAAATCATCCAACATGTATTTAAATAACTATAACCTTCTAAATCGCCATATTAAAAATATGTAGATTACTACTTGCTTCAACAAAATAGTTTTCTGTTATAAAAAATTTAACACTTATGTTATATATGAACCAACTCGTTCTGAGCTGCAATACAAAAAAAGTATCCTTTTTGACCTGTTACCCAACCAAGCTATTTTGACACTTCTATATACAAGTAATAAAAACTTAACACTTTCGATATTTGGGTTGGGTTGGCCCATTAACACTTTTTTGGCCATTTTTTGCAATTTATTAATATGACTATAATTCTGATGAAACGATTTAGGAGGTTCTAAGCATTTGAATATACACTTTCGACCCATATGACCTGTTGAAGATAAAATATAACCCAATATGGACCCATTGGTATGAACTGCAACCTCTAAAATTCAGCTATTAAAAAGAAGACATACCATTTCTGTAGGTAGTGACAACAGTGAGAGTTAAGTAGATTCCATGATTGGCAATCCGATTAATCATAAAACGGGACCCAATCCTTTATGAAAAATCTAAACATCCACACGAGATCATCCAACTGGTATCAAGTGATATCATGAAATGGATAATTACCAACATGTCCTAAAATCAGGTCATGATCCTTGGTGTGAAATCAAACACTTTATTAACTATAAGCAAAGAGCTGCATCCAGAATACTCTTTCTCAAGCACTTGACTGCTATATATAATCAACAACTCATTTTGTACATTCTGCAAATAAGAAAAAAAAAAAACATAAGTATGGCTAAGTTTGAAGTGCTTAAAGTAGAAAGGAACTCAAATACAGAAACATAATAAAACGAATTTAAACTGATAAATAATAATACACAAAAAGAGTAATAAACCAAATCCCAGGTCTAGTTGCACACTGCAATACCAAAGGTATTATGGCTACACATGCTTCGATGAGAAAAGATTCATTAATTACAGAAAGCAAATTAAAGAAGTTATGCACAAACATATACAATCATCAAAACATGTGAATGCATATATCAAATTAAATATCGAGTTTATTTAAGCATATCATTAAAACATGATCAGTTAACAATAACACATGTTACAAATTAAGCTCGTCAGCACATCCAAATAATTACTGAAATACAACTGAAGAGGCATTAATAAACAATCTCAAAATAAAACAGCATCAATAAACCATTGACATTACAAAATAAGCAGTATTCACTAACATAAACAACATTAAAAACATAAAACATTCACTTAAGAATCATCAATGGCAAAAACATATTAGTAGGACCACTATTTTAGACCCCCTTTTCTGAACCGCTATAGCTATGCTATTAATAGATAATTACAAATGGAATAATTTTATGTGTTTACAACTGCATTTATTGTATTTGATGAGAAATTGGTATTCATCATAGCTGATTTAGGAATCAATCAAGAATCATTATTTCATGGATTTACTTTTAACCTTTTCCTAAAAATGATGCATCTATGTACAGTATGGAAAGATGAATATAAACATTATGGTGACGTGGCCATGTGCTATTAGTCTTTAGTTACGAGTTCACTTGATACCAATGCAAAATTAATTTTAGTTCATGTGGACACACATCCACTGGATCAATAAACTTTAAACACAAATCCACAAAAAAAAAAAACATAAATAAGCTAAGGTACTATCAAAATTAAATTATACAGAATCATATTATACAATTTGGCTATATGGTACAATGATGATAAGCCAAGACAATGAAAAATGGATCAAAGGATCCTGAAAACGTAACGGAATATGCATTTGTTATTTATGAATCCAACAGTGCACATGAATTGAGTGATTATTGTATTAATTACAAATACGTCATGATTTTATGTAATTAGTATTTAATATACTTTATAATAAAATATAACGAAAAACGTAGATGTTCCTATTCAATTGTTTTCTTTTCTAAAACTAGTATTATTATTGACTATTTGGTCATTGTTGGTAGTTAAAATTTAATGCTTGCTCATATACATACATTGTTAAATGTACTACTTGTTCGATTATTTATAGCTATTAATTTGTGTGTATATACAAGTGAAAACTTGTTATTCCGGATCTTGTTAAGATAGAATAACAACTGACCTAATTTTTTGGATCCAAAACATCTTTTAACTTCTTAACATTTTAGACAAGTATATAGATTATTTGGATAACTTAGTTTTCTCAATCCATTTTATCTAAAATCTAAAAATCAATAAGATTATTGAAGGAATCAAAAGGTAAACTTTTTTGATAGGTGTTTTAGACTTCTATACACACACGTATATAGAAAGACACTCCCATATTGCCCATTTTTAGAACATGGTCTCCATATTTCAAGCTTACATATCTTTGCAACATAGCCTAGTCAACTCAAATTTATTAAGTCGGTTTAGCTTGAAACATTCTACTTGTTGGAGTTGATAAATAGAAGGGTATTATCATTTCTCCACAATTTTTGTAACGCAATTCATTTGAGAAACATTGAAGTATAAGGAAAGAGCAAGTAGAAAAACACACGAGCTAGAGGAAAAGAAAAATAAGAACAAAAGCGAGTGCCCATATAGTTAAGAATGACATAAAATATGCTTTTAAATGAGAGGAAATTTAAGGTATTGGAGTTGATAAATAGAAGGGTTAATGCTAAGGAATAGAAACCAATAATGTCATTTTTTATTCTAAGCCACTAAAATTTAATGTACATTCTAACCCCCTTTCGACTTCCTACTTTGGTTTCAATTTAGTCCTTATTATCATTACATTGCCCTTTCAACGTTAACATCTAACATGATGTCCCAACATGGAGTCCACGTGCATTATTATTTTATTCTTATTTAACTAGAGTTTAAACTTTATTTAATATATTAAAAATTAATATTTATGTTAAAAATATTTTTATACACTTTTGTTCTATGTCAACTCCATCTAATTGATACTACTCATTTTCAAGACCTTGCACCGTTGAAATCATAAATCAAATCTAAAACCTAAAACAAATCAATATTAATAGATCATGATCAAACCCAAACTTCAAACCCTAAGACAAAAGGGGTGACTGGGTGAGGATAAAATTAAAATGAAAATTACCAAAATAAATATCCATCGTCTTTTTAGGCAACGAGCCTAGGTCACTTGGAGAATTTTAATATAATTAAGTAGCATTATCATAGGATATTAATATACAACCTCATGGATTGTGATACCATATCTATGAAAACCATTGTTTAACTATGAGAAATCTCTTAACTCAAATCATGCAAAGTAAACCCAAACCATGATTGAGCTTGAAAACAAAACAAAAAAAAATGAACCAAATTTACAAAACAAAAAAACATTTGTTGATCGATGCTTAGTAGAGATTTTGTCACCCGATGTTTATGTTAAATACTAACAATTATTGAATCAAAAATACTTAACTATTTTAGTTTCCACTCTCATAAGTAAAATTAGTAAATAGAAAAGCTATTGTTAATTTTTTTGCATTTATAGCTACCTTGCACCCACTACCACCACCAAACCCACCCCGAATTTACCAAGATGTTCATTCATTCACAGGGATACACAAATACAATCTCTAAAGCAGAATTTAGAAAGAAAGAAACATCATCAAAACCATAAAAAGAATCCAATGTCACCTAAGGTGCTCTTTGCTCATATTATTCATTTAAGCGACTCACCCAAATTTAAATACTTTTATCTTTTTCTAACTTTCTGCATATATTGGAAAGACTAACCTTCAAGAGCTTTGGCTCACTGCTTGAATGCAGATAATGAGAGACTCTCTCCTTCTCTTTTCTCAAACAATACTCAGCCTACATTCCATAATAAAAATCAAAGATCAAACAAAAGATAACATAAACATATAAAATGACAACAGATTATCAAATTTACCATCAACATATAGTCAGGACGAGAATCTTTCATAATCCAGTTTGATGCTTTTCGATAATAATAAGCAGCAGTTGCAGCAAGCATATCATTTTCAAAGTCATTTACATAGTAGTTCATTTGACCCATCCCAATTTCAACATATATATCAATAACATTTTTTAGCAATGCTCTATCAATCATCTCTCCTCGTTCTCGGTTGATCTGGTTCACAATCATCCTTAGTTTCAATTTTCTATAAAACATAAAATGACATTGATTCACATATCAAAATACTTACAAGATCAATGACAACGTCTTTGGCTTTACCCTTTAACTCCTCATAAACCTGGATTAAAACACAAGCAATCCCATTGTAAATGAAGAAATCTAAAGCTAAGACAAATAAGCAACAAAATTAACACAAACCATGTCACGGAAACAAGTTAGTGCAACTTCATTAATTGATGGAAGATTCCACTTATAGACGAAATAACGATCAAGATAATTGAAAAAACGATAAAGCCATTTAACCATGACTTTATGATTCATCCAGCACTTCACAAGTTCCTGCAACATAAACTCACCATGTTTCTCTCTTAATGAAGGAAGTACCTGAATAATGACAGAAAATACAACATTGTGAGTCGGAAGTGGACATATATAGCCAACTATAAACCAACAGTTTATTGATTCAGGGGTTGTTAATGGAATTTTTTTTTTTATTATTATTGAGGAAGCATAAAGGTTAATTGTGGTCAAAATGTAATGGAAAACTAACAAAAATATTTGACTAGGATGTATGTAAAGGCTGATAAATCCCCTCACAGCTCCAATAATAGGACTTCTCTACATGGATTACCAATCTCCTAAGCTCTGATTTTTCAGAATCAAAGGTCATGTTCGCTAATATGATATCTAATCTAAAACAGCAATTGCATGCGACTTAACATCAACTAGCATATTCTCTAATATCCATATGTGTATGTAAGATGTATGTTTATGCATTATTTTCCTCTTTATTACATATGCATATGCTTGATTGTCCTTGATAGAAAGAAAAGGCAACTTGTGTTAAAAACAAAACAGAAAAGATAAAGGAATACCATTGAACTGATGTATTCTTGAACTATTTCCCTGTACTTGTCATACAGCCGACCAGAATGATCATCAGGGGGCTTCTGGTTGCACATGTTAAAGATGATGCTGTACCCAAAAGTTAAGGGAAAATAACAAGTTCTAATCTTTGACTAGTAAAACAAAAGTATATGATAAGGACTCTATTTAAGGAGAGAGATGGAGCCTTATAAGAAAATGTATGAAACATTGACTTCAAAGGGTATCCAGGATACGTGTACATCATTATGGACTATTCAGAGTCAAATTGTGGTTCATGATGCCCTTCAATAATTCTTCTCAGTTTCATTATCCTAGTCTCCAGGAACTGCCATCCTTCATCAAAATCAATTGTCCTCAGAAAAGTCATCATAAAACTCCTGCTGCAGATTATTACAAAGATTCATTCAGAAACCAGTGAACATTTAAAACAAAAATTAACTATGCTTTCTTGAGTGTCCAGAACCAATACTACATATACTTCTTGACAGTCTAAATCCTAATGAATTCCAACCATTGTATCCACAGATCCTATTGAGGATGTAACTGTAATCAAACCCAAGGAAGCAATATTTCAGAAGCAAATAAAAATCTCAAATAATATCTACATTGATTGCTAGACAAGGTTATCTGTTAGATGCTTCTTGAATGTCTAAACCAAATCTACAGATACTTCTTAAATGTCTAAAACCAAAATAAACCCAACAATAGTAAGCCAAAAAATCTCATTGAAGACCTCAATACAGATCTACTTGTGTTTAAAATTCAGAACAATTTTAATCAGTTCATTCAGTTCAAACAACAAGATATCGTGGACTTCAACAACTTATGCAACATGCAACCTTTAGTACCTAAATTAAACCAAAATTAATCCCAATTTATGCATCATTCCGCCGATCTAGCTTAAACTAATTAAAATGCAGTTCATAAAAGTAAAATAATCCGATATTAGTTATTTTATGTCAAGCCCTGAGTTACTATATTACGTAGTACCATTAAAATTTCTATAGATAAAGACATGGTAACCCACAAACATTCGTTTTCCAAACGATCGGAGCAAACTGAACACAACCGAGATTAAAAAGATTAAAAATAAAATCGGATAACAATCAAAACCTGAAAAAAAAAATCGGACCTTTTAAGTATGAACAAAGAAGAATTACTCGTTGTCTCTACGGAGTAATCGAATGCAGTTATCTGGAAAAGTACCCAAATTTTTACGAAATCGAAAGAGCCCTAAGACAATTCGCGATGTAATCGTCGATATGTATGTATCAGTGTATGTGTGAGGCTAATCCATCCCCAACTCCCATTTTTCCCCCTTTTCTCCCATTCAACTCCAACTTTAGTCATTCGGGGTAGGGCCGTTCATAAATTTGGTTAGTACAATTTGGATACGATTATTTGGTTTGAATATTCGGATTTTTGGATTGTTTTTCAATAAAACCGAATTATTATTTTGGATTTAGGATTGGTTATGGTTTATAAAATAAGAACCGAATAATCCAAAAAAAACTGAATAACAGTTTATTATTTATTTTTTTAATATATATATATATAATTATTTATTAATTTTGTAATTTATTTTTTGAAATAGGTTCAAAAAAGTTTCGCCTAATAAAAAATATTAATATGCATCTTCTATCAAAAGTTTTTTTTTACCTACAAAATATTAAATTATAATATACCTTCTTAATAGTTGTTTATAAATTTCAAATCGTAACTAAATAATTTGTTTTTGCTTCTTGTGTAAAATTCGGTAATATTATAATTATATGTCGTTTTAAAATATTTTAGTTTTAAAAAACCGAATTGTAATTTGATTGGATCGGATCGGATTTGAATTTATTTTGGACTATTCGGATCCACGTTTTAAAAACCGAAATCAATTTGGATTCACTTGATTGGATTGGATCAAACCAATCCATCCAAACGAACACCCCTAATTCGGGGAAATGACTATTTAGGTAACTAACTGTTGAGTTTGTTTTCATTTGGTCTCTTTCCTTTTTTTGTACTCAATATACCATCGAACTTGTTGTTTGTGTTCATCATAACCCTTTTGACCGGCTTTTGACCTGTGATAGTCGGTCAAATGGTTATGGTGAACACAAACAACAAGTTCGATGGTATATTGAGTACATAAAAAAGGAAAGGGACCAAATGAGAACAAATGCAACAATTGGTTACCCTCCTGATTCATTTTCCATTTACTCATTTACAACAAATCACACGTCATCTCATGTTGATATTAATGACTTTATGAGATTCATTCTTACTTCTCTTCAAAACATAACCCACGAAATAACATTATTCATACATATACAACTTTGTAATACACTTGAATACTTATTAGGGGAATCTTGACTAAGCAGGTGCATTTAATGACTGCATTTACTTTTCCAATCAAATGATTTATCGTATCATGGATTATAGACAAGTCTACAAACGAGTGGAATCACAAGTGTTGTGATTTTTTAGTTTACTTAGCTTTAAGATCGAATTCATGGGATAAGATACAACATCAATATGTACAATATCATGCAGCTTTTGCAGACACATCACCATAATATATCTTGTGGTAAACGTTTATGTTGATAAATATACCTCTCATACACAATCATATCATTTTGTAGAAAGGTGTTGACAACTAACCACAGTAAGAATAGCATAGACCTTATTTTAACGAAGTTACCCATTCGAAACGCTTTTCATATACGTTATGGACAAAGAAGGTTGCAGTCTTTGATAATTTTGCAACTTTAATTTCATTTAACTTTTCGGGGAAAATGACTCAAAAGGTTAACCAACTGTTGAGTTTGTTCTCATTTGGCCCCTTTCCTTTTTTTTGTACTCAATATACCATCAAACTTGTTGTTTGTGTTCACCATAACCCTTTTACCGGCTACCACAGGTCAAAAGCTGGTCAAAAGGGTTATGGTGAACACAAACAACAAGTTCGATGGTATATTGAGTACAAAAAAAGGAAAGGAACCAAATGAAAACAAACGCAACAGTTAGTTACCCTAAAGAGTCATTTTCCCTGATTGTTTTGGAGAAACGCCATTTATTTCTCAAAAAAAATTAAAAATATTATCGATTTTAGTATCTTCTTTATTTTATTTTAGAAAAAATTTCATAAATGGTTCATGTGGTATCTCGTACATAAGTTTAAAAAAACTTGACAGATGATCCTTATGGTTTCAAAACTTTTAACAAAATATCCTTATCTTATTGTTAACGCTGTTAATTAAAAGACATTTCGGTCATTTCACTACTATAGGGACCATTTATAAAAAAAATTATTGTTTAAAATTAAGAAAAAATAAAATATAATTTTAAATATTCAAAGGGTCTCTCTCTCTCTCTCTCTCTCTCTCTCTCTCTCTCAGAAACCATCGAAGTGGTTATTGATTCTGGTGAGATCAAAAGGAGCAACAACCCTCGTTCTCCTATTCTTCCTCTTGTTGACCTGAGCTGCTAAACACACATTTGATTGTCGAGAAACACCACCCAATCACCCACAAACCATTTTCTGCCCTCGTTCGTTTCTTCTTCTCCGATCGACAGCGAACCAGAAAACTCACTCCCTTCTTTCCCTTCATGTTGTGCTGCCGAACCAGAAAAAGGGAGCCGCCGAGGAGGCCGTCAGAGCAGCCCCCTAGTTGCAACAGTCGATGGTTGCTCCTCTATTTCCATTCTTCTTCCTTCTTCAGCAGTTAGTGTCACACCCCCAAACCGGAACGGCGGAAACGCTCGGGGGCGGAGGACGTCATGTTTAGTATCACAACACATGCATCATAGTAATCAAAGTAACAAACAACCATTGTATTAATATTAAAGTGTTTACAAAGTATGTGGTTTACAAAAGGTAGACTCCAAAAGTAAATAACAAAACAAGACATGAAGTTATATGCTCTATCTTCTGAATCCCTGAGCGCGTACCTGTCTACTAGTCTCCTCAGAATACAAGTTATTTTGGAAGAGTAGATAAACATTTAAGCTGGTGAGTTCATAAGTATTTTAGTAATGTAATGTAAGTTGAAAGTTCTTTTAGAAAAGTTCGCGTGTTCCTCCAGAAGATCCTATATCTTCTGATATGATGAAAGATAAGTAAAATGACTCTACAATTCCTTCTATGAGTACTAAATGGATACAAGTTATATACAATACAGATCAAACAGACATTTGATTGTGTTAATCTGACCTAATCCCACGGCCAAACAAGGAACAAGAAATGAGGCGGAAAGCACACATCCCATTGTTTGTTAGATCTTCATTGTATATAACCTTGGTGTATTCATTTGGTACTTACGGAGTTAACTGTAATAGTTCCTTTATATTTGATGAAAACATTCTTTAAGAAAAACCCTTATTTCCTTTAGTAAAAATGGTAACCACAATAGTTCCTTCTATAATCACTTAGTTTATACTAGTTATAGTATGTTCCTCCCTGTAATAGTTATAGTATGCTCCTCCCTGTACTAGTTATAGTATGCTCCTCCCTGTACTAGTATTAGTATGAACTGAACCCCTAAACTATACCTATTATAGTTTACTAGTATGTTTACTTGAACTGTTACTGACTTGAAGAAAAGACTCAATTATCTATTGAGTTAAACATGTATCTTAAAACGGAGTTTTATAAACAATAAACAAACATCTTTTTAAAAGAGTTGTTGAATAGATTTGATCTCTTACAAGAGCATAAGAAATCGTTTAATGTGATGGTTATCACAGGTAAATATTTACACAATATCATTGTGTTCAACTTGTATTCCCCCCCCCCCTTAAAATCATTTAAAAACATTTAAAAGATTGATTATAGGGGTATGAACTCACCTTATGTGGGTGATTCAATTGAAGATTCGTGCAAGGATGAGAAGTTCCACGAATGAATTCCCGAGACACAAACGAGTCCTAAATGACATATATTGGCATGTAATTAGTGAATCTAACTACAAAGGAGATTGGGAAACAACCTAGGATGCAAGAATAACTCACCAAAAGAGTGCTAGAAGCAAGTTAGGAGGTTGAAGGAGCGTTCACGGCCCAAAGGAAGGATGGTTCATGGCTGGGCTTGAATGGTTCACGGCTCAATGGAGTTCACGGCCCAAATTGATGAGTGGTTCACGGCCCAAGATGATGGTTCACGGCCCAACAAGGTTCACGGCCTAAATGGTTGAGTGGTTCACGGCCCAATGATGAACATATGAAGGGTTCACGGCCTAACTTGATGAAGAGCACTTGAAGATCTTTGTGTTTTGGCTAGTGTTTGAAGATCCTAGTAAGCTTCTATGGAGTATCTAATGAAAGGGGTGTTTTAAGAGTGAAAGATTGAAGTGTTTGTGGATGATACTTGAGAGATAAGGGGTTTGTTTGCGGCCAAGAGAAGAAGTGAGGAATAAATGAAGGAAAGGTACTTATATGGGAAGGGTTCACAGCCACACTTGGGTTCACGGCCGTGAACACCCTTTGAGGGGTTTTCTGGTTCGATTTCATTCCTCTAATACTAAGCTAACACTTCTCAACATCCAATCCATAAGTGTATTGGGCTTAGAACTCATTAAAATGACCCTTAACAAGGCTAAAAGGTAATAGAAATAAGCCTGACTTTTGGGATGATTGGATTGACTTACAAGGTAGAAATTTTCGGGTTGTCACATCATCCCCCCGTTAGAGAGAATTTCATCCCAAAATTAGCTTTCCTAGCAGTACTCCTGGGGTTGTGCTCCTCGTAATGGCAAAAAACTCACTCGTAGACCTGGGCAACTTTTCCCTGACGTTCATTATAAGATTCATACTTGGTCCATCTATCATCACCTCGTGTATTCAAGTCGTATATAATTAAGATTAGTAAGACGGTCGGATGTGCGACTCTGCCCCAGGTCCACAACCAAACAAGGAATAGGAGATAGGGCAGAAACACACATACTAAATCTTCATAATCGTAATTATATGCTACTCTCGCGTATACACTAGTGATAGGTGGGTTGTATTCATGCTTAGCCTCTGTGCTTGAACTTCATCTGTTGGACGAGTGGTAGTTCGGGAAGGTCTGCTGGGTATACGGTGGCAAGGTTTCAGAGGGGTAAGGTACTCCTCGCATGAGTACTTCGGGGTTTAGAAGACAAGAGACAAAACCGAGGTCTTTGTCGGGTTGTCGTTACGAATGTCGAGGGTTTCACGAATTTGACGGTCAAGGCGATGGAATTTTGAAACATATGAACTTAGTATGGTGAGGACCACGCCAATCCATGACGAATGATGACTACAGACTCTTTATCGAAACAAATGACAGGCCGATTTGAAAGAAACGTTTGTTATACGATGATATATCTCTAGTGTGCTCTATAATGTATCCCGTGTAGCCTTTCTAGTGCTTTTTGTTTCTCATTGATGTTACCACTGTCACGTATAGTACCACGATAAGCGAGTACATACCGTGAAAGTGTTTTTGATAACTAGTGTCGATACTCTATATTATGATCCTCCTTGGTACCTCTATGATCACCTGGCATATACAAGTCATGTGTAATTAAGATGAATAAGACGGTCGACTGAGTGACTCTGTCCTAAATCCACAACCAAACAAGGAACATGAAATGAGGCGGAATCACTCACTCTATGTCTGCAAAATCTTAGTTATGCACAACCCTGATGTATATACTAAGCCATCATAGCTCACCTGTACGGATCTTTAGTTCTCTTATGAATGTTGTGACTCGTTCAGACGGGTGAGTTATTATAATTACTTTTAAATTGTCCCCAAGTTTTAATCTTATATTAAATATAAATCAAAATTTTAAAGTAATTATTTTATTTCGAAAACGTACCGCTGCTCGCTGGTGATTCCGGGGTAGTTTCTCCTGCGGTGATCATCAGAATTCGTCCATCCGCCCCCAAGTTCTTCATTATCGGGCAGTCCCTCTTGTAATGTTCTCACTCGCCACAGCCATAGCAGGCCTGGTTTACTTCAACTCTGGGGAATTGGGAGATCGGTTGAGCCGGTACCCTGCAGAAACGGGCGGTGTGCCCCTTCCTGTGGTAGTTCAGGCAATGCATTTCCCGGCATACTTGTCACACCCCCAAACCAAGGATGGCGGAAACATCCGGGGGTGGAGGACTTCATGTATAGTATCACAACAACGAGTATAATAGTGCTCAAAGTAAATACAACCATCATAAATATAATTGAAAAAGTTACACCAAAGTATATGTTTACATGTTTCAAATCAATTACATTATGATGACAAAATGAGTTGTTTGACGATTTATCGTCCCATCCTCAAAATGCTCTTGGTTTTCCTGTTTCACTGATTTCCTGAGAATACAAGTAGTTTTGAAAAAGTGTCAACAATTAAGTTGGTGAGTTCATAAGAGTTTTGTTTGAGAAAGAAACCGTTTTCCTTGTAAAAGCGACAAAGTATGTTTCCAGAAAACCCAATATTTTCTTTGTTAAGTGTGGAATGAATGCTTCTATGATATGCGATAATGAACCCTAGAAAAACCCACAGATTCCTTCTATAATCACTCAGCGTATATAAGTTATATAAAATTTAAGTTAAATACACCGTTGAATATAATGGGTCTGCCCTAGGTCCACAACCAAACAAGGAACAGGAGATAAGGCGGGCCCACCAATTCTAAGTCGATTATGACTAGATTCTTATATAACCCTAACATATACACTTAGCGATTATAGCTGAAGTCTAACAATTCTAGCTTTATGTAGTTTTAATAGAAATATGTTCCAAAGAAAATCCAATATTTTCCTTATAAAAGTTAGGTAGTCCTAAATCCCAGGACCAAAAATAAACAAGTATTTTTCCATACTTAAAGATGTAAAAGTGATTTTAAATCGGCATAAAACCCTTTTTGATTTGAGAAAAATCCCGTAAACTTTATGTGTTATGTGTTGTCTTTAATCCTAAGACCGAAAGTATACAGTAATATCCATACTTATTGATATAAAAAGTGATTTTAAATCGACATAAAACCCTTTTTAATTTGGGAAATATCCCGTAAACTTTATGTGTTATGTGTTGTCTTAAATCCCAAGACCGAAAGTGTACAGTTCTGTCCATACTTATTGATATAAAAAGTGATTTTAAATCGACATAAAACCCTTTTTAATTTGGGAAATATCCCGTAAACTTTATATGTTATGTGTTGTCTTAAATCCCAAGACCGAAAGTGTACAGTTCTATCCATACTTATTGATATAAAACGTGATTTTAAATCGACATAAAACCCTTTTTAATTTGGGAAATATCCCGTAAACTTTATGTGTTGTTAACTCCCTATGTGAGTCGCTATAACCATACTATGACTATGAACCTGCCACGACGTTTCTCAGGCGTCGAAATAGATAATGTCACTTGTCACCTCAGACCTGCCGGTCTAGCTGTAGCTAGCAGCTCAGGTGTGGTTTGTCAAACCAATATAGATCTATACACAACTATCATGTTCTCCCTACAAGAGACTCTGGTTATAACTACCAGGAATTTTAACCTGTACTCTAGGAGTACTAAGAGGAATGTCTCACAATTTACGTTAACAAGTTTACGTGTGGTGTGCGTGAGTGTAAAACCTTTTCTGTGGG